ATTTCAAATGTAGATATTGCATTCACTGCTTGACTGCCTTGACCTTTTACATGTATGTCGCTGATGAGCTGCGATAAAAAGCCAAGTTGTCGGATCTCTCGAGATGATTAATTATCAGGCATTAGCTTTCGATGCCTTTGTCAGTTGTTTGTGATTTGTGTAAACTACGAGTTTCCAACATTTCAACATGTACCAGATAGACTTGATGATTAGGTAGTGTAAATGGATTTCTACCGTAGCAGTTCAAATGGTTTCCAATAAGTGCAATCTGAACGCGTATCTCCCAGTCCAATATTAAAAACGCAAAAATTCTAGGAGAAGACGGTCTGGAGTTGATGCACTTTCCAGGTCACAATTACTCCGAAGAGTATCCAAGGCAAAGGGGAATAAGTGACGTTCAGTCCAACCGCCACCATATCAATCCAAATATGGCTGTGGCCATATTAAAGATCAAATTTAAACAACATATACAGTTCAGAAGCAAACATAAAAACTTCAATATATGTACAAAATATAGAAATAATAACAATATACAATGATAAAATCTCAAATTGGAATCAAATAAAATACCAAAATGTCAACAGAAAGAGTCCGTCATGTCATAACAAAAATAAATAAACATGAAGGGATTTTCCAAAAAACAAAACATTCAAAAAGGATTCTACACCGGCCCGCAAAATCCCTCCATGCAAAAAGCAAGCGTTAATGACACTTTATTTAGGGTTCCCACTCATCCCCTAATCCACACCGGAAGAACGTGTAGGACTTACAGCAGTACGCCTACCCGCCCTCCAACATGGATATGACCTATCAAGCTAACTAGGTACCTATACCTTCCCATCAGGCCCTTGATTCCCCTATCTATCGTAGCATGACCTAACGGTAGTATAAACCTTATCCAATTAACCCACACGAACATGTACAACACGTCGTTAGGCTGGTCATATCCTGTAGAATTCTTTTTGAATGTTTTGTTTTTGGGAAAATCCCTCCATGTTTACATATTTTTGCTATGACCTGATGGACTTTTTCTCTTGACATTTTTGGTATTTTATTTGATTCCAATTTGAGATTTTACCATTGTATGTTGTTATTCTTTCCATATTTTGTACTTATATTGAAGTTTTTGTGTTTGCCTTTGAACTGTACATATATTGTTTAAATTTGATATAATATGGCTACCGCCACATTTTTGGATAGACGCGGTGGCTGCTGGACTTAGTGTCACTTACTAGCTATTGTAATAGATACTCTACGGAGTAATTTAGTCCTGGAAGAAACAAAAACATCAGACGGTTTTCTCCTAGAATTTTTGGCCTTCTGATTTGGCTGGGACCTGGATCTAGGAGTATCGTACCGGTGTGTTTCTATTGGACGCGATTAGGACAGCCGCCAGCGAAATAGATTCTACAGTCTGATGTTTATCCTTCTGGCGTGAATTATACTTGGAAATATTTACCAGAACGCATATAATTTGGATCTATTTGGATTATTAAGAATTACAAGGAAACATTTGGAATTTAATCGTTTATCATACTAGACTTCCTTGGAGGAAGACGCTGGAACTACTTATCATTAATTTTGAACTGAAATTTGGATTTACTCTATTTTGTATTCGTTATTGAACTTTATTTATGATGTCAAACCGAAAAAAATCACACGTGAGGAGGGTGGAAGAGCTCGACGGATCACAGGGCTCTAGGCAAGTCGTTGATGATAACCTTTTTATGGGTAACCCACATGTTATGTCTGATATTTATTATTGTAAGTCATCGATAGAGGGTTTAGAATTACCTAAGGTTGAGCTTTCATATTTTGATGGAAGGTCTCGCGACTATTTTAAGTTCATACGACAGATAGAGACGTTTATAGAACCTCGAATCAAGGATGATCAAGTGCGTTTATTGTATTTAATTCATTATTGTAAGGGAAAAGCTAAAAATGCGATCGAAGGCTGTCTTATAATGGACCCACAGGCAGGATATAAGAGAGCTAAGGTTATTTTAAAACAGCTTTTTGGGCAGTCACATGTGATAGCGCGAGAAACCTTAGAGGACTTATTTAGAAC